TCAGGGGTATGAGTGTGTCAGGGGTATTATAGTCATGGGTAAAAGTGTCATGGGTGTGTGTGTGATATGGTTGCAAGTGTCAGGTATACGGTTCAGGGGTATGATTATCATAAGTATTAGTGTCAGGGGTATGCAAGTGCCATGATTGTAAGTTTAAGGGGTTAGTAAGTGTCATATGTGTCAGGAGTATGTGTGTGTCATGGGTATAATTATCAGGTGCATGGGTATAAGTGTCAAGGGCATACGTGTCAAAAGTGTAAGTGTCAGAATAATGTGTGTGTCGTGGGTATAAGTATCAAGGGTATCTGTGTCGAGGGCATGTGTCATGGTTTTTCTAGTCAGTGGTATGCGTGCTATGGGTATAATTTTCAGGGGTATGTGTATGCAAATCATGTGCGTCAGGTGTATGCAAGTGTCGTTGAAATAAGGGTCATCATCATCAATGGTACTACAGCCAATGTAGGGCCCTGGCCTGCTCCACCACATCCTTCCATCGATCCATGGCTTTCCCTCTCCATGCTCGAACCCCCAACTGGTGTAAATCTGTCTCCACATCATCAATCCACCTCATCCTTGGGCGACCGGTGAGTTGTCTGCCCCTAGTTTTGGCTGCTCTGCATTCCGGCATCCTTTCAACATGACCTGCCTTCTTTTTTTTACCATTGTGACTATGGGTGGTTCTTTGTACAAATAGTAAAGTTCTTGGTTTGTAAGTATTCTCCAGATATCATTTTCTATCACTGGTGAAAATGAGGGTAAGGGGCAGTGGCGTAGCTAGGGTTGGTGTGACCCGGTGCGGTAAACTCATGGTGTCACCCCCCCTCCCCCCCAAAAAACTTCTATGATCGATTTTTTCTTGTTAAAATAAGTCCACAGTATAGCATCAACCTTGAACTTTTAATAAAGCACGCCTTTGGATTGGTTACATTTGTGAAAAATATATATGTGATCGGTTTTTCTTTTATGAATCTCGGTTTTTGCGAGCAATGTGTGCCCTGTAAATATGCAATTTTTCAATCGGGTGTCACCCCTAAAATGGTGTCACCCGGTGCGGGCCGCACCCCCCGCACCTGCCTCGCTACGCCACTGGTCAGGGGTACAGAATAGTTTTCAGGGGTATATGTGGCAGGTACAGTCGTGAGCCATGGTTATAAGTGACAGGGGTATAGGTGACAGGGGTATGAATATAAAAGTCACCAGTGTCAGGCATATGCAAGAGGGTCAGAGGTATACGTGTCAGGTGCACGTATGTGTCATGGGTACAAGTGTATGCATGTCAGAGGTATACGTGTCAGGTGCACGTGTGTGTCATGGGTACAAGTGCATGTTTCAGGTGTATGCATGTGTCAGAGGTATGTAAGTGTCAAGTGCATGTGTGTGTCATGAGTATAAGTGTCAGGTGCATGGGCATAAGTGTCATAGGTATGTAAGTGTCATGGGTTTAAATGTAATGGGTATGTCTGTGACATGGGTATTTTTAAGTGCACGTGTGCGTCAGGGTTATATATGTCATGGGTATGTGTGTCATGGGTCTAAGTGTCAGGAGTATATGGCGACCTCTGGATACCTTATCAACATTGTGTCCCTGTCAATGACTCAAGTGATTCAGGTTGAAACCCAACAACTAAATCAACACTGTCACAGTACATGCAAAGTAGGATTATTTTATTCTTGAAATGGATCAAACATAAACATATAAATATAATGGATCAAATATATCCAAATTCATAGATCAAATAACATATAATGGATCAAATATATACAGATTCATGGATCAAATATCAAAATTAGAAAATAATGGATCAAATCTATCCAAATTCATAGATCTAATAACATCAAAATTATCCAAATTCATAGATCAAATAACATATAATGGATCAAATCTATACAGATTCATGGATCAAATATTTACATAGACATGAATGAAATGTTCAGATAGAAATGGATGCCAAAAATCAAGACCTACTGTACATGGCAATTACAGCCAGTTAAGATAACAAGAAACAATTCTTGGGAAAATATTGTGAAGTTGAATGACAATATCATCTACTTTTAATTAACACTTGCCTTTTTATGTGATGCTAGTGATCTATTCACACCTTGTTACATCTCCATTCAAACTATTATTTGAGCAAAAAAAGAGTTAGATAAATAGAGAGAGAGAGAGAGAGAGAGAGAGAGAGAGAGAGAGAGAGAGAGATGGAGAGATGGAGAGAGAGAGAGATGGAGAGAGGGAGAGAGAGAGAGAGGAGATGCAGTAATTAAGAAAAGGAAGGGAGAGAGAGTGTTACACATACAACTGCAAGTGAAATGCAATAAAAAGATAACGCATTAGTCATCTTGACTTTTTCAAGAAAAACAATCACACTATACAAACAATTATATGAGCAAAAAAAGAGATAGAGAAAGAGAGAGAGAGAGAGAGAGAGAGAGAGAGAGAGAGAGAGAGAGAGATGGAGAGATGGAGAGAGAGAGAGATGGAGAGATGGAGAGAGAGAGAGAGGAGATGCAGTAATTAAGAAAAGGAAGGCAGAGAGAGTGTTTCACATACAACTGCAATTGAAATGCATTAAAAAGTTAACGCATTAGTCATCTTGACTTTTTCAAGAAAAACAATCACACAACAGTTTCAACAGACTGATTATGACAAAGTAAGTAACACACAGGGACAAACAAAACAAATACTTGTATGTTTCGACACAGGTTAATGGAATGTATCTGTGAGAGGGGAAAACCTGCAGAACATTTTGCAATGTCTCTAATACAGTGGTTCTTAGTTCTTAACCTGGGTTTCATTGAACCCCAGGGGTTTGGTGAGTCAGTCTCAGGGGTTCGGCGGAGGTCCAAACTAAATCAGAAAAAAAATCATATTTTATTTTTCCTATTAAGAAGGGTTTGGTGAATGCGCATATGAAACTTGTGGGGTTCAGTACCTCCAACAAGGTTAAGAACCACTGCTCTAATAAAACCTACTAATAAAATTTCTTAACATTAGTCATCTTGACTTTTAAAGAAAATAATCACACAACAGTTTCAACAAACTGACTGATTATGACAAAGTAAGTAACATACAGCTACAAACAGATCACATCCTGGTGTGTTTTGACACAGGTTAGTGAAATGTTTCTGCGAGAGGGGCAAACCTGCAGAGCGTTTTGCAATGTCTCTTTAAAAAACATACAGGTCACATTCTGTGTGCTTGTGCCCTGGTTATGTTTATCCTACATACGTTTAATGACTAGACAGATATGAAGAAGTCTTGATTGTGTTGTGCTATGTCTGTAATATATGTTTCTAAATGTACCAAGTTCTAGTGTACGGTTAACAATGCAATGCAAGCAATGCAAGGACAGCTAAAAAAAACGTGCTCGACAAAATGGCTGAGCACAGGCAAATAAAAGTTTGAGTTCATAATCTTCTTTATAGTGTTCATAATCTTCTTCAAATTTTTGCTCCTCCAAAGGCAATAAAGGAAAGCTCTAAATTAATGATATGTCTTTATTTTAAAAATTACATCAGTAGCATTAGCATTTAGTTCTGCATGTGCCAAAACTAGCAGTACAGAAACTCCTACATATTCAATGTGTTTGTCAACGTGTATAGCTCCAGCCACCCCCACCAAAAAAAGTTTAAATGATTATTTGTTGGGCCGTTGTTGCTGGAAATGGGTCTGTCCACAAAGAAAAAAGTACTTATAGCTGAGAAATATTTTTGCTCGCACGTTAATGAGTGTAAGTGGTGACCCTGTTTGAATAAATGCGAAAGAACAATATAAAGAAATTTTTTTTAAAAAATAAAAGACACCACCAAGTAACACTGTTCTGGAAAGGTAACTCTGTTAACTCATGAGTGTGACTTTTGTCACAGACTCACCCGTTCCAATGAAAATCTGTAGCCTCATACACCATAGCCAGAAATACATCATCCTGACTTGCATATCTGACTCTGCCAAGCGTTGCCATGACCAGCATATTTCCATAAAAATTCGCAATAATAGATAGCATAACTGTGTTATTTAGTGCAGTCTTATTAAATGATTCTTTGAATTTGTTCTGCCAACTTTTTTGTCAAACACAATCACTCAATGACTTACATACGACGAGCAAAAAAAAAAAAATAATGGCCAGCTTTGATTGCTAATCCCTCAGTCGATGGACCGATTTTGCAACAACTGTCCAACATATCTTCTGTTTCATGACCCAGAACACGTGGTTGTCGAAGCTATGAACCATTGACAAACGAACAATGCCTTCAGGAAGCAGGAGTTTCAGTACAGTTGCATCTGGTGCATACTTTATGAACACCTTTAGTGAGGTTGGACAGGTAGCATCTTCCACAATATGAATAAGTGATGTCACTTCACTGATGGCAGACTCCAGTGCATCATTTCCCAAACCCCAGAAGTGAAGCGCCATTGATGTTTGGTGTAAAGACAGTTCAGTAAGGCACAGATATTGCTATTTCATGACCCATGCTTTGAATAACTTGAACTTCACACATATCCATTCTTACCATTAAAAAAAAAATTCTTTAAAAAGCCATTTACGACCAATTAAAATTAAAATAATTTAAAGTTCAATATTTAACATATGTACCGGTATTTGAAATGTTATATCAAAAATCTTGGCTCAGCATAAAAAAAAGCACCAGGTGGCCTACACACAAAGCACTGATAACTCATCAACTATATTTCAACTCATCAATTATATATTTATAAATATATATGTACACACATATGTACAGAATGCTGGATAGGGTAAAAAGAGAAAAAAAAAATTCAGAATAGGATACCGGTAATTCAATCTTTTAGTCTTATCTAGCAGCTCTTCCAAGTTTTTGAAGCACTTCTGCAATCTGTAAAAAAAAAAATATATATATAGATATATATATTTCTAGTTGAATATTGTAAAAATAGTTGTCAGAAAGATGTGCAAATATGCTTTAGGAATGATCAAATTAAGTTATTTAACGAAACAAATAAAAAAAACACTCACATTTTTCCTATCCCAGTCCCTGGCAGATTCTCCTTCGTTGTTTTTAACAGATGGATCGCCTGTAACAAGAAGATGTTCATTTTAATTTATTCATGATTCTTATTAGCATTTCCGTTACACTGCACACCAACGATAAGCAAAGTTAATGCAAAACGTTATTTCATGCCATAAAAATGTTCAAGATTACTCTAATAAACTTAAATTAGTAAGTAATGCTGTTGAAAACTTTTTTGCTAAACAAGCGTTGTATACATTCGTTAACTTGTTAAAAAAAAACATGTGCACTACAGATGCTAATACAGACATTGTGTGAAAAAGCTTCTGTCAAAATTCATACATTTTAAAAATGTACACAGAAAATAGAAAAGTTTGGGAACACCTAGCATAAAATAATGTTCAGATAAAATTTTAGAAACCTCAAGTGCAAATATTCTGATATCAGCTTAGGATCTCATGGTGTGAATATTCTGTTAACAGCTTAGGAACTCATGGTGTGAATATTCTGATAACAGTTTAGGATCTCATGGTGTGAATATTCTGATAACAGTTTAGGATCTCATGGTGTGAATATTCTGAGAACAGCTTAGGAACTCATGGTGTGAATATTCTGATAACAGTTTTAGGATCTCATGGTGTGAATATTCTGAGAACAGCTTAGGAACTCATGGTGTGAATATTCTGATAACAGCTTAGGAACTCATGGTGTGAATATTCTGATAACAGTTTAGGATCTCGTGGTGTGAATATTCTGATAACAGTTTAGGATCTCATGGTGTGAATATTCTGATAACAGCTTAGGAACTCATGGTGTTAATATTCTGATAACAGCTTAGGATCTCATGGTGTGAATATTCTGATAAAATCAAAATCTAACAGTTTCCATGCCAGGAAAAAAAAAATGAAAAAATCCCCCAGGTATTTTCAAATTTTATCTTCACCATAATTGTGAACTTTCACCCAACGTTATGATATAAGTCACTAAAACATTTCTAGAATATCACTAGACTGTACCTCCAGCAAGAATGATACACCTTAACAGCCTCTGCTTCTCGTCTGTTTTAATCGGTTGTTGGAGCCCGGCTGCCAGGTGCAGGCAGGTGTTACCCTTCCTGTCCATGGCTGTGACGAGAGACCTGGCTTTCTCGGCCCCGACCATTTGCAGGATGTCCTCCACCAGAGCCACGTCATGTGATTGGATGGCATACATGAGGGCGGTCTTTCCTTGTATAGTATCCTGTAAATGGAAAAAAAAAATAATATGAATACCTCAATACTGCCAGAACAGGAGGATTATAATTTATTATTAGGCAGGGGGAATATAATTTTTGTTGAAAGGTAGGTTAAATCATTGTTACACACCTGTTGAATAAGTGAGGCATCACTTTTTATCAGCATCATGATGATATCTCTACGCTTGCTCATTTTGTGTATGTGTAAGGCTTGCATCAGTGGTGTCAGGCCTGAAGAGAGTAACCACATTAAGTCAATCAGCTCCGGGCACAGGTGCACTCATCTTTATAATTAATCAACTCGTAATTAAAAAGGAACGCTGGGATTTGTTAAGGCTGAATTTAATTAAAGAGCACCAAATTTAAACATTCCTCAGCTTATTCCTGGGCACTGACCTCCGTTTGAGCCCTTGGCATCCACATGTACGTCCTTGGCCCCCAGGAGGGCTTCAACAACAGCTTGGTTGCCAATCTCAACAGCTTCATGCAGCGCTGTGTGCTGCACCCGCTCACTACGAAAACTCTACATTTTGAAAGAAATCAAGCATTTGTTTAATAAAGAAAGAAAGTGCTATCACTTATCATGTCAGTGCATAAGATTTTGCAACTTGGTGTTTTTGTCTTAGTGTGCACATCAGATGTTTGTGTGCTAGTGTGCACATCCGATTTTTGTGTGCTAGTGTGCACATCAGATGTTTGTGTACTAGTGTGCACATCAGGTATTTGTGTGCTAGTGTGCACATCAGATGTTTGTGTACTAGTGTGCACATCAGATGTTTGTGTGCTAGTGTGCACATCAGGTGTTTTTTTCCAAGTGTGTACATCAGGTGTTTTTGTGCTAGTGTGCACATCAGGTGTTTTTGTCCTAGTGTGTACATCAGGTGTTTTTGTCCTAGTGTGTACATCAGGTGTTTGTGTGCTAGTGTGTACATCAGATGTTTGTGTGCTAGTGTGCACATCAGATGTTTTTGTCCTAGTATTCTATATGGAGAATAAATTACTAACAAGATTTTGTACTTTGACTCCTTACGGGATAAACCAAATACACAATTTTACGTAGCTGCCATGTCTTTTTCCTGTTTGGTTTTTTACATTTTACTTCAAATAACTTCCTTTCCAGTCTTCTTTATTAAATTTCTGTCTGGTTTTTGCGCCACCCCAATTTTTTTCTCTCTTTTTTTTAGGTAGGATTTGTGTAAATATATATTATGTAAATTTAATTTATACTTTTATAAATGTTTTGATGTTATACTGATGAAGGCGCGTGCCGAAACGTTTATTTGTGTATTATGTAAAAATAAAATGATTATTAAAGCTTAACATATAATGTTATATTGAAACAATTGTTCATGTCTCATTAATTTAACATTAATCTCCAGATTTATATTTATTGAGATTTAACTGACTCAGCAGGTAAAGCACCGACTTGGTAGGTCAGCCTTGACTCTGTAGGTCAGCCCTGACTCAGTAGGTAGGTAAAGCACCAGCTCAGCAGGTCAGCCAACTCAAATTTGCTGGAAATAGTTCACAGACACCAGAAATTACAGCCACCTCCCGTCGAATGAGCCCTACGGCCCTACACACACACAATCAATATAAGAAACATCGATTGGTACTGACCTTTTCTTGACTAAAACAACTGATGTTGACATCAGCCCCGTGAAACAGTAAGAATTTGACCACATCAACTTTGTAGTTTTTCACTGCAATAAACAAAGCGGTCTGGAAGAAAAAAGATTCAGACATATAAGACTTGCAATCATTTCTGGATGAGCGTTGTGTTGTTGTTTTTGTGTGTGTTCTGGGCAGCTGATTACTTCAAGATGAGTTTCATTGAATCACATGTCTCTTTGAGGCCCACAGCCTGAGTTATTGGAACATACATTTTTTTTGTTACAATTGCGCAACAACACAGCTTGTAAGCTCGCCTTGCTTAAATCTATGAACAGAGTTGTCACAGGTATAGATATGAATATATGGCAGATAATTAATAAGGGGGTTATTACTTATATATTATACAGAGCATTGGGACTTGAGAAAAACGGACCAATCAGAGAATGTAAGAAACAATGGAATGATTTAAATAAAATGGGAGTCGATTCATATAGTTTGTTTGGGGAATATTGAACAGTCTATAGTGTGTTAATACATTATTAAGTTTTAGAAGAAAATTATGTTATCCAGGAGCTAGTAATTGAAGTATTGAGATTAAAATGATATTAGTTCCAAGTATGTTGGGATTTTCATGAGATGTATTTGGTATTGTGACTGTGTATAATAAAATATTAGTCACTATTTGGACCACTTCGCCTCTGTTATGATTCATCATGAGATTGTGATTGTGACACAAGTCCACTGATCAGGAACATATTCGCAACTTAACTTTAACAAGAGGTCATACACATCAGAACAGAAAAAGATGTGATTTTCCAGTTTATTATACAAACATTTTTCAAATGCATGCATATCTCAAAATTCTAGATGCGCTAGGCAGATTCTGACTACATATTTGGAATCAGCACATTAAAATCCATGCAATCCATGTTTTACATTCAATCGTCGTTGCCCAGAGTTACATAAAGTGAACAGATCAAACACAGGGCTGTTTTGAGCAAAAATGAATAAATAAAAAATCTGATTGCAGGAGACAGGACTTACCTCCCCATTCCTGCTCAACAAATTCAGAGCACCTTTAAACCTGGGCAAGGTGGCCAGTCTTTCCCTGTGCTCAGCTGGCATCTCACAAAGTATATGCAGACAACTGGTGGAAGAAAGAAAAAGTCTACATCAAGATTTGTTCATATTGAACAATTCACCTTATTCATGTTCAGAAGTAAAAAAAAAACAGAAACCAAAAAAAAACAAAATATAAAATCTATTATAGTAAGTCAATACATTTTTTAGACTGCACATCTCTGATTGGTCTGTGAGTTGAAAAAATGTAACTTTTTCTGTTATCACAGAGAGAAAATGCTTATTTTCTATAGCCACCTTTGATTGTGGAATGATATTATTACATGAAAAACATCTAAGGACCTTTGCAAGAATGATTTGAAAAACAAAATTATAAAGCTGTCATTTTTCTTCTCAAATTGAACAGGAGATGGAAAAGAAGGGCTAGGTGACAAGACATATAGGCAAATGTATTGGATCAAGTCACAAAACAAAACAATAAATTGTTGTTTAGAGGTTATTGGGAGCCCTTGAACTTGGACAATTAAGTGTTAAAACATTGCAATCATGACAACTTTGGACTGACCTGTTTACAGTACTTTGTATTAAACTAAACAAATTTTTTTTTTAAAGTGAAAAATGTGAACATTATATAAATAATACTTTGGTAATTAAAATACTTGTTAAAGGAACTTGCATAAAAAAATACTTGTTTATAATATAATAAAACTTATTTCCTTTACACATAACAAGAAAAAAAAAGTGTCCTATGATGTTCATATGTAAACTCCATATTGAAAGCTACTTACGTCTCTCCGTCATTGTCAGGCTCAAAGCTGGGAAGCTCCACGTCACTACTGCCGTATGAAATGGTCATCACCGAAACATCACTGTCCCCGGCTTTCTTGCTGACCTCCATGCTGCTGGCGTTGGACACTGCCACCTTCTCAATGCTGCCCTGGTCGGCAGCTTTCTTACCCTCAGGCTCACCAGGTTTAGGGGAGACTACGGGTGGCGGGCTCACTGTCATGTCGCCTGCTGGGCCACGAGAATTCAGAAACATGTCGTCGTAGTTGCACGGAGGCTCATCAAGAGAGGGGAAGCCTTCGTTCAGTAAGTCTTGGAGCATGTCCTCACTACTGTCCAGCCTGTCTTGATAGCTGTTCTGGGGGATGTTTGTCATGCTGGGATTCATGGTAGTGCTTGGAACAGACAGTGGGAAGCCCTGAACATAACTTATCTCATTGGGTAATATGCTTGGGAGAGTTTGAGAGTACGTCATTGCACTTTCTGATGGTCTCTGAGGCTCCATTGTTTGGTACCCATTTTGAGAATTTGTTCCGAGAATTCCTTGGCAGGATGGTGTCATAATGTTAGAATACAAGTGTGTTCCCATGGTGACACCAATTGTTGAATCGGCTGAGAATTTACCATTCTTCCCTTGATGGCCTTGAGCAGCTGACAGACCTCTGTTAGCAGGTGAAGATTGCACTGGGCCCATCGTGGAGCTGGCAGCATGGGAATTACCGCAACTTAGAGGCTGTGGTGAAGAGATATTGGTGAAGTGGGATTTGGAAGCCGGCTGGGATGGCGGCTGATTTGCCATTTGTGAGACGGGAAATGTACCTTGACCTAAATAGAATCCATTGGAAGATGACTGCAACATTTCTGGCAGATGGGTCTGATGACCTTGTGTGGGTTTCAGTCCATTATTTTGTATCCCCTGCCCACCATGGAAGTCATGAAAGGTAAAATGCAAACCCTGAGAGGGCATTTCATTTTGTAATCTTGATGCCATGTTGCGATCACATGGATTGACAGAAGAAACAATCAAGTCTGCATCTTTTGCAAAGCTTTCAGGCCTTTGTTGAAAGAAGTATGGACTCTGCTGGCTATGGAAGTCATGCATGTCGGACTGCTGCTGAAAGGGATACGGTGGAGTGATGCCTCGTTGTTTAAACATCTGCTGATGGAGAACGTCATTGCCGGCTGGCTGGCCGAATGCATTACCGGGCTGTCTTGTGAGACTACCACTACTAACATCTGAGTGCATTGAGACGTCACTTCCTCCTCCTATGCTGGGGAATGTGGTAGAATGCAGAGGCATTGGTGAAACACTGTGAGGGACTTTGAAGTCATCCCTGTTCAGTGTTTGCTGAGGCGCTTGTGGATAATTTAAAGGTTGCCCAGGTTTGCCATTTGCTGGCATTTTGGGCTGACCAGCCGGCTGTGTCTGCTGTTTGTTCTGAACAGGAAGCTGGTTTGGGTGTGGAAAAAACTGCTGGCCATGTTGCTTGTGTTCAGTGTGATCTTGGTATGAATTAGACTGTTCTTTGAACTGCGGCTGGTGCTTTAAGACCCAATCACGAAGCTGGTGGTCTTTGGGGAGTTTGGGTATGCCAGCGAGCGTGTTGCAGCCAGCCTCAGGGTTCTGGAACGTGTCACCCCGCTGCCTGGACTGAGGCAAATGGGATTGAGCGTGGTCCTTGTTGCTTATGACGCAAGTAGGGTTAAAGAAAGCAGGTTTATCTGTGGACCCTTGCACCTCAAGTGCCCCTGGGAAGGTATAATCATGCACCAGAAATAGCTCCTCCGCCTGCACAGCTTGGTGCATTTCTTGCCTCAAGCGAAGCTCCTCATTTTCTTGAGATCTCCTTTTAGCAGCTTTCATTTGGTTTTTAGCGGCATTGACCGGAGCGCCTATTGCTGGGTCGCTGAGGACCTTCCCTGCTTGGGTTGTGTTCACACCTGGTGGGAGGGTATCAGAATCATCCCGGCGCAACTGGACAAGGGGTCCACCATTAACTTGACCAAACATGTTGGACTGGCCATTATTTTTTTCCTGGCCATTGCCACCGTTGAGGTAGTTGTCCAAGCTCGTTTTTCCACTTTGGGCTTTTTGCTCCTCGAGGCTCTTAATGTCCTGGGGTGTGATGTAGGTGGAGTAATCAAACTCACTGGTTTTGGTGGGCTTTTCTTTGGACACGGGTTGAGGATTTTCACAGGAACCTACCTCCAATGACATGTTTGTATACGGCATCGAGATGTGGATGTCACTTGATGTCACTGACAGCATATCAACATTGGATTTGTTCAAGATCTGCTCCAGACTGGACACAGTTGGGCCACTGTCTGAGGGTAGAACACCTGCTTTCTTGTTTTCTAGACTCTGCTGTCTTTTCTCGTGCAAGAACTTCTCAATCTCAAGATCTGCTCTCTTCTTCTCATCCTCTTCAGGATCGGCTGCACGAATCTTGTCCCTGGGTAGAGGCTTGCTTGAAATTATCTGTATCTGATTGTTCAAAGACGCGTACTGAGATGATTCCATGCCTGCAGAATAGCCACTGCCTGGTTCAGGTTTTGCACACGACTTCTCCCCCTTGGCTGAAGAACAGGAGGAAGTTGATAAGTTCTCACTGACTGATGTCTTGGTGGTGCTCGGTATCTTCGTGCGACTGCTCCTGCTGCTTTTGCTGTTGCTGCTCTTCCTGGGAGTCTTGGGCTTCTCAGTGGTAGGATATTGTAATTCATAAGGCTTGCCGTCCAGCCCATAAATGATGTGTGGTTCAGATTCTGCCCCACCCGCCGGTGGGTGAGTGGATCCACACTTGAGACTGTGATCGCTGGGGTCGTAAGTCCCAGAGTCAAGCTCAGTAAATCTACTGTTTTGTATCCACTTACCCACCATGCAGACTTTCTTCTCTTTGGGGAGGTTGATCGCTGGCTTGGGGTTCATGGTGGATGCTGTGTTAGACCTTGCCGACGACGTGACATTATTTGGGTATCCTGAGAGGTTAGTCTGTTGAGAGTGGTTCGAAATGGCACTGTTGGAGAACTGTTCTTGGTTCGGATGAGATGCCACAGGGTAGGGAGCTCCTGGACTTTGGGTGCTGCCACCGTGGGCATAAAAGTTGTTAATCATCACACCAGGTGGGGCATGCCTCGAGCCCGCCAACAGTTTAACAGACCTGCTTTCAGTGAGATGTGAGCAGCAAGTGGATCCATTTTGATGTAGTCCAACACAAGGGTGCACTTGTTGCAAGTGCCGTGAAGTATCAGCTCTGGCCACACTACAGGACTGATCATTGCTCATGGCCTGATACATATTTGAAGGCTGACCATTATTCACGTGCTGAACTGGTGGATTGACTTGATTGGATGATATTTGATTTATGGTCTGCTCATTAACAAGGAACCTTCCCATTAGATCCGGTTGTCCAATTTGTTGCTGATGGTGGGCCAGAGACCCATTGTCAGGTCCCAATTTTTGTGTGGGTCCATTGAGGTATGCTTGCACGTTTTGTGGAATTAAGGTACTTGGAGGTCGGTAATTAGAAGCTCCATTACGGGGATGATGTTGATGTAACGGCTGCATGTTGATAAGTCCATTGGGTCCTGTGGGCCCCAACCGTTGATCTTGGGTGCCAATATATTGACCTATATGAGACTCCATATTTGAGCCCTGACCTATAATGTGTTGACCTTGACCTGACAGTGTCTCAAAGAATTGTCCTTGAGCACAATCTTGATTCATCTGTTGCTGGCCTTGAAATCTCATATGGTGACCATTTTGTGCCCTCTGGTAGTGACCTTGAGATGACTGGGGCTCCATGTAATGATTGCGTGATTCCAAATTCAAACCGGAATTGAAGCTGAATTCATCACAGGGGTACTGTAAGGAGTAGAGCCTGGATGGTGGACCATCCACAGACACCTGACGCTGAGCCCCAGGGGCAGCATCACCCTCTTGGGACACAGACATGTTCGATTCTGAGATGGATTGCGATGTGTCACTTTTAACGGACGCCCTCCCTTGCTTGATGGTCGAGCACTCAGACCCATCGGTAGGGGGTGGCGATGTCAGGGGGCCATCGTTGGATTGAGATGACGGGCTGCTAAAAGATCCCTGGGAATTGAAAAACTGAATATGGACTGACGCTGCGTTGGCAGGATCTGGTTTGAGGATGACAGGAAACCTGCAGGTCAAAACCCCTCCATTCTGAGCCTGAACTCCACCATTCTGAGGATAAACTGTGGGAAAATAACATAAAAACAGTGAGAGAGAAAAAAACCCCACCAGACTAATACACTAAAAAGATACCTCAATATTTTAAGGCAGGGACCTAATAATACAATTCTGAAGTACCAGTACTAAGGCTGGCACAAAATTATTCTGAATTTAGCATACTAAGTACATTTATGGATAGCTTAAATAATGAAAACTCAATCACAGGAATAATAACTATCCAGGTATGTGTGTATGATGTGTGTAACGCTGTGTTCAGTAGGTGCACAAAATAAAAATTCCCAGAAGTTAGCAAGTGTGTTACTTGAATGCATGTTTGTCTTTTTGACTTTAGTAGATGGGGAAAGTCATGAATTGCTGCTGCCTGCCATTGTTAGGTCGGTTATTTCTAGTACCCGATACTTTATAAAGTTTGAAGGGGATAAAAGAAGCAGAACGCCTGGGGCTACCTGTATTTCCCTGGCCGTTGAAAGCTATGCCCAGCGGAGCACCAAAGCTGCCTGGTGCTGAGAACGCTGGCTGGGTCCGGGGCTGGATTGGGGCCATATTTGAAGGGGATAAAAGAAGCAGAACGCCTGGGGCATACCTGTATTTCCCTGGCCGTTGAAAGCCATGCCCCGCGGAGCACCAAAGCTGCCCGGTGCTGAGAACACTGGCTGGGTCCGGGGCTGGATTGGGGCCAGAGTGCTGGGTTTTTCAATCTTGGACCTTGGAGGCCTTCCTCGCCTGCCATGCTCCACAAGCTCCGAGTTTTCATGGCTCAGCAGCTGAAAGGACAAAGAATACAAGAGCTGGTTACCATACGATTTGATAAAGTCAAGTTTGTCATCAGATTTAACCTTGTAACGCCAGATTAAAACGGTGGATTAAACTGATCCTATGAAGGTACATATCATTAGCCTGTGGTTATTCTGTCAGTTTTACTCTAATAATATCAAGTCTTTTACATAATATCATGAAATCAATGTAATTTGGCTTATCAGATGAACGTGTCTGAGCTCAGAGTTAAGATTTATAGTGGTCTAGAGTCTAAAGCAAGTTTATTTTTAGATTAAGATTTAAGATGTCGATTTTTTCTTTGATTGATAAAGCATATTCATCATGATGGAGTATTTATAAACACAATATGAACATTCATTAGTGAGAGAAATGGAGAAAAACGTATAATTGCTCAACAAGATGTAAAACTTCCGGTTTCTTCCCTGGGAACATTAGTTTTCAAAGGTGAAACAGACAACGAACTTGCCAACTCACCTGGAATTCCTCTAAACTGCAAATCTGGTAATCTGCATAATCCAAAACACACAGCTCTGATCCTTCAGCCTCCCCATCCATGCTGGGTGTGGGGGAGTCACTGGGAATGATGATGGGTGAACATTCTCCCCCTGGCTCACCCGTGGGTGAACTCGAGGCTTCACTGGCGTCCAGACACACACTTGATGTCACTGTCTTTGCTTTGTTATTTTCCCCGCCAGGCGTGTCTGGTGCGCTGATCGTGTTAGAGTTGTGGTCGGTGCCAGCGTTTGCGTCCACGCGTTCGTCTTTCTTCTTTTTCGAGCCGAGCCTGTGGCCCCCCTTGCCGTTACGACCAGTGTCGTTCACTGCGATGTGCCCTGGCAAAGTCTTGCATCTGGTGTTTACAGATTCCGACAGGGCACCAGAACGTGGGCCCTCTGCCCTCGACACCGTTGCTGGGCCTGGCGAGGACGTGACACCTGGGTCAAAGTTACGTTGACGTGAATAGCTCTGGTCTCCGTTGATAACGGACGTTATGTCCTCTAGAATATTTTCCGATTGTTCGATCTGCTCTCGTTCCTGCTCCTCCGTCTGTTCTGAGATTTCCTTATCCTCGCTGCCGAAATGCTGCTCGCCACCGCTTGCCCCATCAGCCCCCAAAAAGTCCACCAGATCCTGGTCGGAGATCTGCAAATTGACAAACTGATTCATTTCGGCGAGACAATTGTCGCCGTCGATCTCCAGGTGCCGAGGACTCGCCAGGCAGTGTAGCAGGTTGCTTCTGATGATCTCGGCCAGCTCCTGGGACTCTTGGTCTCCGGGGTCTACAGACGAACCAACGTGTTGGCGGATCTCGAGAGCCATCTCCAGACTAGTTTCCATCTGAGTATGGTTAAAACAATGTCTTGTTAATGATAGGGATTTGACAACATTGTGTATCGAACGATTGAATATATCCTTCTAGCGGCTGGTGCTAACGTTACGGCCTGCGTAGTTCAGTACACAGAATTATTTTTTCTCCAGTTGTCTTGTTTCAGCAGGTCAGAGTGTTCACCGTGAGTTGTTTCAGCAGGTCAGAGTGTTCACCGTGAGTTGTTTCAGCAGGTCAGAGTGTTCACCGTGAGTTGTTTCAGCAGGTCAGAGTGTTCACCATGAGTTCTTTCAGCAGGTCAGAGTGTTCACTGTGAGTTGTTTCAGCAATCACAATGATATCAGACTGTCTGAAACCATAAACATTAAAAAAAAAATGTTAAGAATGACATCACTCATAATAAAACAAGTGCTCCTATAAAATTCTGTAACTGGGCATGGTAAAAATCTTAATCAGGGCACTGACCTCCCTGAACGTTGGAATTATATAGTAGCAAGCAGTGAATGCCGTGATAGCAAGTTCCCGGCCTGTCGTTTAATTGGCTAGCAAATTCCCGGCATGTCAGTTAATTGGCTAGCAAGATCTCGACTTGTCATTTCATTGGCTAGCAAGCTCCCGGCATGTCATTTAAGTGGCTAGCAAATTCCCGGCATGTCATTTAATTGGCTAGCAAGCTCTCGACATGTCATTTCATTGGCTAGCAAGTTCCCGGCATGTCATTAAAGTGGCTAGCAAGCTCCCGAACTACCGTTTGACTGGCTAGCAAGTTCTCGAACAATCGTTTGATTGGCGAGCAAGTTCTCGAACTACCGTTTGATTTGCTACCAAGTTCCCGGCCGAATGTTCAATTGGCTACACGGCTTAAGTCACAACGAGGACAGTTGTGTGTTTGTGTGTTTTCTTAAAACAAGAAGCCTCAATAAAATTATCTCCCACAAGCGAAGAGACTTCAATTAAAAACTTTAAAAAATAACTAATAGTTAAACATCTCCATGGCCACAATAAATATCCTCAAGCCACCAAGAGAGAGAGAGAGAGAGAGAGAGAGAGAGAGAGAGAGAGAGAGAGAGAGAGGGGGAGGGAGAGGGAGAGAGAGGGAGAGAAAAGCAAATAGATGTTTGGCGATGAAAACAGTTGTCCTTTCTCTTCACCATACATTATAAACAGTACCTTCAGTTGAGTGGACCCACCGTTGTACATATCAAGTCAATCGCTGATAATTTATCGTGAAAGTACATAGACTAATCAGTTACACGAACTGTGCAATTACACGAACTGCCCGTAAAATGTGTAAAGATTGTCATACCACGCTTCTAAATGTTATGGAGCCATTAGCTTCGCAGGTACTCACGGGACGGTCCCGATAAAGTCCAGCAAAGAAATAAACGGCCGGACTCCGAAAACGTTTAGAGGCAATCCATTCATACGACAGTGTTAGAACCCCTTTTAGAAGGACACCCTTGCCAAAAGAAAACATTATCTTACCAAGCGAGTACACCATATCACAATGCGAGCTGATGAACGATAGGATCAAGAAAATCATTGCCCACATTAATTTCACCAAGTGTTATGAAACTAAGACAAGACACCAGCGAGAGTTCAAGCGGAAGCCATTTGACCTTTACAATTTACATACCGGTTCGCACACAGATGTCATACGTCAGACACTCTTTAAATAGTCTTATCTCCCAATACAAAGATTCATTTTTTATTTACTTCCCCGGCTTCTTAAAAAAAACAACGTTAAGGACTGGAGGGCGACGTGGTTGATACTATCGGCCCTTAATGACGTGGTTGATACTATCGGCCTCTATGACGCGGTTGATACTATCGGCCTTGATGACGCGGTTCCCACTATCGGCCTTGAAGACGTGGTTGACACTTTCGGCTCTGGATGACGTGGTTGAGGGTGGAAGGTGTTTTAAAGTGTGTATGGGGGTGGGGGGTTCAGAGGAGACTAGATGCTGTAGACCGCTAAGTCTTGCAATGCAGGCTTTACAAAAAAAGGACGACACGTGGCAATGGCGAATCCAGATTCGAACACAGCGTTAAAAAGAAAAAAGAAAGTTAAAGTGACTATAAACGTGGGAAGTTCTTTCTATACATTCTGTTGTATGTAATAGGTATTCCCACCACACCCCACTCCTCCCTTCCCCGAATACACCAAAAAGCAACTAAGCGTTGCATTTCCAAGAATTTGAATAAGACAGACTTAAGTCAGAGGTCATCGGATTTCCAGGAATAGTGCTTGGAAGTCTCAACACTGCTTCGTCATAGAGATATATATACAGCATTGCTAACGGTCCACACTGACTTACTAGACATGCACAGTTTTAGTTTACTTGGGGAATTCTGGTTTTATAAAGATAATAGGAGTCATGGCCCTCAGCATTACAGATACAGCTGGCAGAAGACCCGCCCCTGTACAAAACTTTGTTGTTCACCATTTGGAGACAATGCCTGCGTGACGTCATTCACGAGGAAGGTTTGCGTGACACATTGTATGACGTCAATATAATTTTTGGAGCCCCCCCCCCCATCCCCTGACATCACAATCCCGATCGAGACAAAGTCAATGCAACACACAACAAAGGCCATCAGACACTCGGCTCGACTTGAGAAAACAATGCCTCTCATAAACTAAACCCAGTGGTCGGCAAATCGCGGCTCGCGAGCCGCATGCGGCTCTTTAAAGACCTGAATGCGGCTCGGCCAATCAGCCACAAATCGGTTTTGACTCGGAAAAAACATGGTTCTTGACGGGCTCTTGAAAAGAAAGCTGGCTCTCAAAATTGATTTAATTGTCCTGCTGCTGATTTTTGGCTCTTTTGACTAATGAGTCTGCCGACCGCTGAACTAAACTAAAGGCGTCAGTAAGGAGACATAGATGAGTGTCACACTC